CTGTTGGACTATTACGTTGATTTAGTGCGCGCAAGTGCAAGTATGTGTCACTTTCATTTGAAGAAACTGCAATTGAAAATGTCAAAAGAAAGTGGAAGTGCAAACATGGCCATAAAAAGTTAGCATTTGCTAGCCACATTTGCAGCCTGGTTCAGTACAACAACAGTGCCAACAAATATTTTTTATTTAATTTAGTTTTTCTCGTTGACACAAATCAACGCATTGTCAGTTTTAACATTTTAAGTGACAATGCAATAAGTTGTGAATTTAAGATTGGCAATTTAGAAAAACAAAAAAAGAAATGGCAAGAAATAAAATTATAAAAAATTTTTTAATAATAAACATAATTGTTATTATTTTGCAATTTGTTTAAAATTTGCACTTCAGCTAAACTTCAACTACGCTACGTAGTAAAGATACTTTCGATTTTGCCTCGAGCAGTTTTAAACGAACTGCACAAAATTGAAATGCACAGCAAATAGAAAAGCAATTTGAGCACTAAACGCTACTTAATGTTTGCATTCATAAAAATTAATAAATAATTTCAAAACATAATTGTAGTTTTTAAATACATATTTTCACCTTAAAACAACAAATTAGCATCGTTAATGGATATAGCATGAAGTATACTTCATTATGTTTGCCGCTGCACTTGCCACATGAATTGCATATACTGCGGCTGATTGCCGCATGATGCATGCAGCATTTCATGTGTATAATTTTAATGCAACAATATCGGCACAAACACGTATATGTATCTTCGCTAATGTATCTTAACTAAGCATGTATTTAGCTAAGTTGCTGCCTGCACAGTATTTAAAAGTGCATTGAAAACGCCTGCAAGTTGGCGCAAAGACGGACAAACGGGCGGACAGACAAAATCTAAATGCGATCGTTAATGTTTTTAATCACGACATCATCAATAAGTTAAAGAGTTATTTTCTTGTATTTTTTTTTATTTTTTTCATACTTTGGACATCAAGTATAAATGCACACTTATGCTGCTGCCACATGTTAATTTTTTAATAGCAATGCAATGTATTAGTAAGCAACTAAGCGTTTGAAGTTTTGGTTTTGAAGCTTTAGAGCAGAGAAAAGATTGCAACAACAACTGAAACAAATAAATATATTAATTAAAAAATAAAAGCGCTTTTTAACATTTTCATTTTTCACTTTAAATGTACATTTTTCATGTTGGTAACTACATTTCATTTTAGCATTGCCAACTGCCAAATGGAGAAAAATCTGTAAAATTATTAACCGAAACAACTTCAATTCAAAAACAATTCAATTTCATTGCCAATTCGCCTGATTGGCATCGGCATTAGCCGTTTTTCTTCTGCTGCCATATGAGGTTAAGTTGGGTTATCGTATTTTTAACACTTTTCTTTATTGTTTATAAGATATTTTTGATTTTTTTATAATAAAATTGAAATTTTTATAGACTTCAATTAGTGATAGAAAAGGTGATTAATAATTTTATAGTGAATAAAATCAACAAATTTAAGCAAGTACAAACGGAAAAATCATGTCTCATCGTTCTTGTATGAGACATGATTAAATTATATATATATATGAACAAGATAACAGCTCATAGTTACTATAATATTCGCAGCAATCTCATGTGAAAGATATTGATTTACTCATTTTTGAAAATTCAGTAATCCTCATTCTGAATATATTACATGAAATGTGATGGATTATGCATTGGCCTGGAAGAAATTCTATAATTATGTTATAATATATAACTTAATATATATTATTGTGGATTTAAATGAGATATACCATCTTTTGCGATCAGAGGCCTTAGTCTGCATTTAAAGTGTAGACAAATATTTATATATTGAGAAATTCGGTTCCAGAATGCATTTTGTCTTAGCTTGACATATACATTTTTAAAAGAAAAAAAAGACATATCCATTTCTTCTTCAATACAAAATATTTAAATATTATAAGTATGAAAAGTGCAGAATGTAAGCAATGATGATTTTTAATGACGTCATAGTTTTTATAAACAATGTTTCATTAAGTTATTTTTTTAAAACTATTGCATTGAACTTATTGAGATTAAATAGGAGTATCTAATGTTAATTTCAAGTTATGGGTTTAAATGATGTAAACATTATAATCCTAATTTATTAATTATTTTTTATATATAAAAGAAAACTGGTATGGTATGAAAAAAAAATGATATGAGTATTACAAAAGCATGTCAAACCTATACAGTTTTAGTATACTGTTTCTGACATTTTATGTAAAATTTTGATTGTTCACATTGTGTTCTCGAAGATCACTGAAGGTAGTGATTTTTTCCTGAAGGCAGTGTTTTTGATAGGTGTTGGACTTTATTTAGTGTGCTATTTATTCGTTTAGAGATTTTTAACAAAATTATAAAACAATACACTATATTTGGTAAATTATTGTTTGTTTTCGTTTACTGTTTACTGTTTAATATTTCATATTTATTTATTAATATTTATTCTAAATATGAAAATGATTAATGTTAAAACACGAACCATTTGAGAGCAAAATAGTTAAAAGAAATTTATACTCGGTCCATACTTGCCAAAAAACATATTTTTCATAATCTTATACTTTTTTATATCTGTATCAATTAACATATTGTGCTTTGTTTTATTATAAGTATACATTCTTCATCATATAAGTATATATATATAATATATAAGTATATACATGTGTATAAATCAAAGATATATTTCCATATGAAACAAACTGTTCGCAGCCAAGATGCACAGATTGCCACAATGACAACGGCTGCAACATTTTATGCAGCTAACATAAGGGAACTTATAACTAACTGTTCACATCATGTGTGCAACATTTGCTGCATTATGAATTGTGCAACATATGGGCTAAGAAGAGAAGAAAATAGGTCAACAAATCAAATTGGATTTCGCTGGTAAACTTATAATTTGCGGCACATTTAACTAAATTAGGCTTTAACTTTCTGTGGCATCAAGAAAATTAGGGACAACATTTTGGCATGTTGCACACATGAAAGACTAAAAGCAACAACAATTAATTCATTCCAGCTAATAAACAGGAAACTGCGTTTAACGGCACAACTGAAATGTAGCACTGTGGCGCGGCGGTACTATTAGTCAAAATAATCTGTCGTCCGCGCCATACGTCGTCTTCTAAATAAGAGTTTGAAGCGTTTTGAATAACAAAAAAAAACCAAAAAAAAATATAAATATTAAATATGAAAATATGAATTTGTGATAAAAAAGGCGCACATGTGCAACACCAAATGTGCAATGTCGTGCTCGGCGTGGGTTACTAAGCGACATATTTTATCATCATTAGGCACAGTTGCCGGATAATTTGGTTCTTTCCAACTTAAGTTTGAACTCAATTTTTTTTAAATAATAAATTCAAAATTTTTTGGAGCAAAATTTCTATAAATGAAAATTTATGCCGAATAAATGCAAAATGACTGAGGGCGGCTATTAAGCGCAATTTGGATAGTAGTTGAAAAATCATTTTTTACAGTGGAGGGAAATGAGTGCGGAAAAAGTAGTTTCAGTTGTAGTCGAAAAATATTTAAAAAATAGAAAATATTTTTAATGTAAAATAAAATAGACATGTTTAAAAATTTTGTAGTATTTTTTTTTTGTTTTTGTTTTTAATGAATAAATGAACTTTCCACACATATTTCCATGAAACAATAAAATACATAATTTTCACGAATTTTCTTTTAAGATAATTTTGTCGGCGGTTTTTCTTTCTTAAGGAAAATAAGCGGGAAAATATATTTGGCAAAATATAAAAATTCAAAAAGGTGGCGACACTCATTTGCAGTTTTGTTTTTGATTATATTTATTTTTTGTTTACTTTATGTTTATTATTATGGTTTTGTTAGCGGGTTTCGTTTTGAATTTCATCTTTTTTACAGATACAGAGTTGGCTGACACTTGGGGGTAATGCGCCCATAAAATACAAAAGTCTACGGTATTTGCGCACGCGCAGCTTTGGTGTGACTTAAGCGGATTTTATGTTGACTTTAAATACTTTAAGCAGACATGACATACTCCATATGGGCAGTTGGTTAATATGGCTTCACCCATATTGGCATGCGGGTTGAACATACATATTTGTATCGGCTCATATATTCCGAAGCAATATTATTTTATTTTCATTTCAGGAGCGAAGTTTTCTAAAAATTAGTGAAAAAATTTTTTTTTTTTGATTAGACATGTGAACGTACTTTAGCCTTATTATGTAGAAGTAATAATAGGAAACTGTTAAAGTTTATTTTGAAAAATATTTACTACTGCAAAAAAAATTTTTTTTCCGGTAATATGTAATGAAATATACATTATTTATAGATACGGAACACATAAGCATACAAGGAGGATTGTTTTTAGTCCGTGCAAATCATACAATTATGACAATATATTGACGAAACGTTTTTAACCCTTCACTCCGAACAAAAAAAGTAAAAAATAAAAATTAATTAAATCAATATAAAAAGTGTGGTGATAAAGAAAATATACAGGAAAATCATATTTAGTTGAAAAATCATTAGTATTAGAAAGTTATCAGTTACCAAATTGGTCACCAAACGAAGTTAGGAGTCTTATATTCCGTTACTCCACCCATAACTCATGCCTGCATTATCAATACATTTTCCATAATAAATGACAATATTCTATTATTATTATTAATACTATTTTATTTTTAATAATCAATACTATTTTAATATTTTATTATTATTTTCCGCTTTTTTTAAATAGAAGCTGAAACATTTGGAACATTATTCGGTCATCGGTCATGATGACTATATACATATATGAAAAAGGTTCCATTTTCTCTTCATTTTAGAATAATTTATTATTAACTGAATTTATATAAATGAGAAAAATTCATACGTAATATGACTGTTTCAAACGTAATATTGGAAAGGAGTTTTGAAAGAAGTATAAAATTCTCTTATTACTTTTATTTTCATTAATTTTAAAAGTAAAATTATTACTTACTTTGACTTTTTCCAAATACTCTTGCAATGCGAAATATGGATCTTCGCCATCCTCATCTGTCAAATCCAAGCTAAGCGCCAAATCCAAATTATCTAATGCTGCCAATTGAGTACTTGCATCTGACGCCAGTACTGATGCTGCTCCCGTTGTTGCTGTTGTTGTTGCAGCTGTTAAGTCAGTCGCTCGCTTGTCGCCATTTTGTATTCGGTTAGGCGCGTTACTTAAGAATGTCTTATCAGCTGTCATGGCTGGTGTGTTGCTTCCGTATTTGTTGAATTTATGCAGGTTGCCGTTGTTGTTGGCACAGAAACGTTCATTCGCAGCCAATGCTGGACTACGTCGTCGTGGCACTGTTGCACAACCAGTGCTGCCAACGACAGGCGATGCTGTTGCTGAAGGTGATGCATTTGGCGCATCATTGGTTTCGATTTGAAGTCGCGGAATATCAGCAATTTTATTTGCATTTACTGTTGGTGACTTAGCTGTTGCTGATGTAATTACTGTTGCAGTTGGTTTAGCACTTTTGCTGTTGCAGTTGGTTGCGCTGTCGCCATTGCTGATAATAGGCGCATGTTTATTTTGTGGGCTATTAATTGCACTTATTCTATTGCACTGGTTTTTGATCTTAATTGAGTTGTCATGATTTTGTATTTGTTCTGCAAGACAAAAAAAATTTGTTTTTTTGAATTGTGAAAATGTTTAAGATAAATAAAAAAATAATTTCTTAACATTTCAATACATAATAATGTTGATTTACGGCCACGCAAATGTCCCATTAACACGACTTTAATCGAAAATTAAAATAAAAAATGACCTCACTATAACTTTTTGCTTTAATTTTTTTACCAATAAACTTGTTGTGATTGTTGTCTAGGTTGCACAATTATTAACATTTATGGTTAATGTTGCTAGTAACAGATATTGCTACTAATATTGCAATTGCTAATATATTAGCAACATTACCTCATTTGGATTTCAAAAGTTTCATAAAATAATACTAGTCTTTTTGGATAGGTTGTAAATCAGAAACATATAGACTTGGGTTTAAGATTTTCTTTATAAACTTAGCTCTGTATTATAACATTATGAAAAAGTTCTTAATCTCATTAACACAAATTCAAATTGAACACTAATAGTTGAACTAATTATCACCTCAGTTTACTTTAACTTTATAAAGTTTATGTTTCAACATAGTTCAGTTTACCAGTGCATATATGTACGGTACGTTTAATCCTAGTTTTGCAAAATAGATAAAAAGTAGCTTTGAAAATATGTAGTCACATTATTAATGAATCATATATGTAATAGGTAATCTTATTCTTAGTAGTTCTTAGTAGTTAAGAAACACTATATCGAATGTATTTTAAGTAAGATACTTATGAAGAGATATTTGGTGTTATGGTTCACATAAGCATATATAATAAGTTTTAAGGTACACGTACAGTATTTAAGATTCCGTAAAACAAGTTTTAAATTTGTATTAAAAAATTTCATAAATGCGTCTAAACATCGATTGAAAATACTATCGAATTAGGAAATACATTTGCTACTTTTTTTCATTAATTTTCGAACAATATGCAAGTACTTCCAGAAGTCTGTTTAAATCTTACAAAACATGGTTCGAAAAACAATTAGAAGTCATTCAATACCGAATCTGTTTACTTAGGTATGATAAACTAAACGGATATATCAAACTTTAAAACTAAAAAATAGTTAATAGATCTTTTTATTATATAAGAGAGAGAGAGAGAGAGAGAGGGGGAGAGAGAGAGAGAGAGAGAGAGAGAGAGAGAGAGAGAGAGGAGAGAGAGAGAGAGAGAGAGAGAGAGTTTTTAAGTTAATCATATACTGTTGTTGTATACGAACACGGTTGCCACTTGAAAATTTTTTTCTGTACCAAAAATGGTTTAAAAAGGTACCATTTCTGTAAAAAAAGGTCCAAAATTTTTCTATTGTCTTTTTATAAGAAAATACAATTTATATAAAATGTACAAAAAGTATAAAACAATACAATATCCACAATAAAGTTGGGTCCCGAAAATGTACCATTTTTTGAACATGAGTACCAGAGTACCAAACGGAAAAAAAAGTACCAATTTTGGTACTAAAGTACCATAAGTGGCAACCGTGTATACGAACAGTATTTATTACTCATAGAGCATATACTAAATTTCAGAGCACTCTAACGTACGCCTTTTAACACCAAAATATTATAACAATGGAAAGCCAAATATCAAATTTAATGTATTCTCTAAGTATATTTAAAAGCACAATATATAAATAAACAATATAATATTATGAAGAAAGGAATTATTAGTACAAATTCTTAAATAAAAAAATTTTAGATTTAAGATTAAGAAGAATCTAATGTTACACTTGCCTATAAATTATTTCATATACATATTTGTACGTATATATTATATAAAATATTTTCTTTTCTAAAATTTGTTTGCATTAACTGATCTTCCAAAATATATTTTCATGTTCAAGGTTCGCAAGAGTTGCAATCTTTTCAAGATCTTAAATTTTTTTTTACCAAAATGACAATGAATGAACTTTTATACCAATGAGTGTGAGAATGTTTATTGTTAAAACTACTTCCCAAACATTAGTACCCATTTCTTTATTATTTTTTGTTTTTTAATTTTTATTTTAACACCATAAATTCGAATTCACCAGAAACAAGTTCAATTTTAATCTGCACAGCATTTTAAAATGATTTATGCATCAATTTAAATCAGGAAGAAGGTCACATTTGACCCATAAAATAAACAATAAACTTTTTGCATGACAAAGAAATACGCTAAAGTCGGTCATATAGTTTTCAAGAAAGACATTCAATACGGTTTAATTTTTGATCTTGAATGCAACTTGTTTTAATAACTTCTATCGTAGAGGCGGTAAATAATTCCGAACAAGAAGAAGAAGTAATTATTCTGAAATGTATACTGTTAACAGCTAGGCAAATTTAATTATCCACTCGATGAAGAAAACGAGATTAGATCCGATATTTCTTACCTGCATAGTTTGCAATTTTATTAATAGTTGCTTATTAGTTGGTTGGTACAAGTAGTGACTCAATCCGTGAGTCCGATTAGCACTTTGTCACGGTTTTAATGTTTAATCACAAGTTTGATAATCTATCGGAAGCTTTTACAGTATGGATGCGATGTATAACTACATTTACTACATTTTCCAATCTGCAAATTTCAGCTAATCATTTAGTCTGATCCTAACAAAAAATATTGCCAGATGAAATGTCAACTAAAAACACCTAGGATCAAGATTTAGATGAGATTTTTATTTCACTATTTTGATACTATTCTGTCCACAGCCTTATATCTCCATAGTCATAGCCGCAATATTACGTAAAAAAAGATACCAGTATTGATTAGAATTGACAGTTTCATTTATATTCTTGCTATGTTGCAAAACGTACGGGTTATGTTTTTACAACTCTATGTCACACAGTGAGTTTTGTGGATGTAAGTGTTTTCAACAGTTTTCTACTGTCCCAATTGTGACGATTTTTGTTTATATATCCATCAAGAGAACAATGAAACTTATCACTGAAACAAATTCGATGCAACTCTAAAACAAACGATATTTAAAAATGACAAAAATATGTTGTGTTGGATGAGACTTTTTTTTGACATATGTCACTGGTGATGGTGATGCCAATACAGCATCAGAAAATTGAAAACTCTTTTAAGTAAATGTAGTTACATTAGAATAAAAAATGTTGAACACATATATATATTAGATGAATGTACAAAAGATAATTAACCTATAGACAGAAAAACAAATGCTACGTAATGAGAATGAAGCTACATAATAATAATTTGTCATTTTCTATGCAAAAATACTTTTTAATACTGTAGCTCTATAGCAAAATTTAACTGGAAGACAAAACAAACAAAAAAACACGTTAAAGACTAAACATGCATACAAAAGTCAAAATTTATGGAGCACATAAAACCAACGCATATAAGCTGTTAAAGTACACCATAGATCTATACGAACTGCCTGATATCTTGCTAAAGCGAGTTTGTGATTTTATTTTTTTATTGCGCATGCGTGCGTTCGATTAAGTCTTGATTAAAATGAAGTGAACGCGGATACAACGCGACTGTGACTCTTGGCAAACAGATGAAAGAGTCATATATACATATATATATAAATATAAGGCATAAATAAGGAAGAGCGTTTCAATGATATTCTGATACCTCTCGTTACACAATTCAACTTCTTAAGTCATAAATCACAGAACTAAACAAGCGAGCAATGTTGAAGCAACAACAGCAGCAGCAGTGGCAGCAGCAATAACAGCAGCAATATTGCAGTTGCAATTACAAGCGCTAAGCTGTGTTAGACTTTAATTGGGATTTTTAAGCAGAAGCAAAAGCTTAAGCTTGGGAGGTCCGCACAGTGGTTTGCCTGCTAAGCATTAAGCAGCGTCGAACATGCAGCAAATGTTGCACGCATATGTAACAAAATGAAGAAAATCAATTGCAGCAAAATTTTTATTTAAACTTTCTTTGTAAAAAATTTCACTTTATCTTATTTTGCTAAAAAAAATATATTTCACATTTTAATTATGGCTTACCAGCGGTACTTGAACGGTATTGCAGCGGTATTGATTTTACTGTTGCATGCTTGATATTTAAATTGATTTGCGGCAAAGTTCAAACTCTTTAAGCAATGCAATTTACTTTAAAGGAGCATTCTAGCATGCAGCAAAATGTACAGATTTGCATATTGCATACAACTACTTAAAGCAATGGGCTCTGGGGTTATGGGGTGTGGCATGCTGCTAATTTTGATTGATTTGAATGCAATGCATTGACTGCTAGTGTAGCTGCTGCAACTGTCGATGCTGCATTTGTGGTCATTTTAAATTGATTAATTGTTTACATTGATGTCAGACAGAAGTTGCCTTAAGTGGTTCTGCCTGTCAGAGTCAATAATTAAACTTTTTAATTTTTCATTACGAATTGCAGACTATAAATAAAATTGATTTCATTAAAAGATGAATGCGCTAATGAGCTATAAAATTGCGGGATTTTGAAATAAATTAATTTACATGCATATTTCGAACGCAAATTAAATTAAATAATTACTTTCAACTTTGCTATCAGAACAAGGAAAGAACTTATTTCAAAAGTACTAATTGAGGACTACCACAACACATTTTATTGTGACTTTAACAGAAAAATCGAATCCAAGTCATGCTTAATGCATTAAGAAAAAGATTAAACTTCACAGAAATCAAAAACAACACAACGACTGGAAAAAACAGCAACAACCAGCAAGCAACAAACAGCAACATTGTGCTGTAATTTAGAAGAGATTAAGATTAATTTTCAAACGCCTCTGGGGCGTTGGGTGCAGACGACGATCGACATCTTTGCAGCTCAGACATAATACCAAATAACCAGTAACATTAAAACCAAATATACATATTTATATACGAATACATATATATTAATATAATAAATTGCTATTTATGTGGAAGTAAAAAGTACTTAACAACAATAACTGCAACAACAGCAATAATAAAAAATACACCAACAAACAAACAAGCAACATTTTATGACGCGTTGCAATGTCTCAGACAACAGCAATGCAAACACGAAGCCTTGCTTAGACTAGCGAA